CTGTACCACTCAAGAGTAAAGAAGGAAGCGAGACAGCTGACGCAATCGCTGAGATAATTCGAGACAGCAAGAGATGTCCGAAAAAACATGCAAACCGATAACGGGAGGAATTTTACAACGCCGATGTGCAACGACTTATGCGAAAACATGACATTAATCACTATTCGACATATTCGGTACTGAAGGCGTCGGTCGTCGAGCGATTCATCGCACGCTAAAGAACGACATGTGGAAGATGTTTACGCTGAATGGCACTTACAATTGGTTCGACATACTGCCCACGCCTCGTATCAATTTACAACGGACGCAAGCATCAAACGATTGGTATGCGACCCGCCGACGTTACCCCCGCGATTCCGAAAGACTCTTGGCTACCGTGTACATCGTGTAAAATCGCGGGCCCGGCAAAGTTAAAGTAGGTGATCAGGTACGCGTCAGCAAGTACAAACAATTTTTCGAGAAGGGTTACACGCCAAATTGGACAACCGAGGTGTTTAAGATTGTTAAAGTGCAGCACCTAATCCCGTACATATCTACTCGAGGATTATCGCAAGACATCTATCGCTGTGGAGTTTTTACGAGCACGAGCTGCATCGCGCAAATTGCCAGATGTGTATCTCGTGGAGAAAATACTGCGCAGGAGGGGTGATGAGGTTTACGTGAAATGGCTGGGATTCGACAGTTCGCACAACTCTTGGATACATAAAAACAATTTTATTAATGTATTTATTCAATCATTGTATAACATATTATATATTGTATACCATATATATATATATATATAAAATATATAACAAAAATATATAAAATATATACTTCTCATTAATACATCCTTACAATATAAATATAATAAATATAATAAATATAATAAATATAATTTACAACGGTATTTGTTCAGGAATAAGCCTAATCCTAAAGTATAGGTCGTTCAATTCTCCGTTTATATTATCGTTCGACATCTCAGTAATTATTCGCGCCAACGCGGGACAACACGTCAAAAACACATGTGATCCACGTGTTACTCGCCTGTCTTTTCCTTCGCTCGACGCGAATCGCCTGCGCAAATCCCCAAAATTTCGCTTCGCGCCTTGGCTACGTGTCTCGGATCATTATTGAGCGTCCAGCCACGAGACGAGATAGATCGATACACCTTTTGTTGAAATATCGTCCGCCTCGTTTCTAACACTCTTATTATAATTTGTGATTTGAATAAAAGTATATTAAAACGAATCCGCGAGTGATCATTAACGAAAACTACCGCCTTGGCGTGCGAACCTTCTATACAAGGTTTTACCAACGAGAAACAAAACATTTTGGTCCTTCGAGCCGGATCGTCGCCAAGGACAATTATTGGCATTCCGAATCACGATCGTCGATATGAACACCTCGACATCTTTCGAAGAGCTTTTGGCTCTGCAAACACAGAAGATGAGTTTCGTATCACGGGCGCTCATCAATTACAAGAAGCTGGGGCAAGCCAAAATGACACCTGCGGTGACACGTCAACGTCTCGTCACCTTGAAGGAAGCCTTTGCCACTTGCCAGGAGCTCGACAGTCGAATCGGGCTTCATGCGGACGATGACGACAAAGCATCGCATACCTACTTCACAAAGAATTCGTTTCTGGAATGTGAGGACTGCTACAACGAGGCTGCCGACTACATGGCTGAGGTATTAGAGAGCTACGAATCCCGCATCCCTCCCGCTACATCATCACAAAACGTAAGTGGCTTGCATGATGTTTTCCGACCCGCGTCGCATCTTCCGAGGATCAACCTACCGACCTTCGACGGGAGCATCGACAAGTGGGAAAGCTTTCGCGATAAATTCCAATCGATGATTCATAATGATCATAGTTTATCAAATGTCGATCGCTTACATTATTTGTGCTCATGTGTAAAAGGGGATGCAAGTAACGCGCTTGACCACCTCGCGGTAACCAATAATAATTTCGACGTCGCGTGGAGAATTCTAGTTTCTCGGTACGACAACAAACGTCGTCTTGTTACAACGCATTTACAATCGCTGTTAAATTTGCCGTTACTGACATCTTTCGATTTCGGAGACCGCGCATCACGGAGTCGTCCTTGAAGCCTTAGATTTCGACCTTCGTCGTTTCTGGGAGACTGAAGAGGTCCCTCCGACCCAACACCATAGCCCTGACGAGCGCAAGTGTGAAGAGCACTTCCTCGCTACCCATTCCCGCACTCCTCAAGACGCTATATTGTTAGATTACCGCTCATGACCTTCGTCAGCTTCGCGACCAAACAAACAAAGCAATCCAAGCGCTTAGAAATCTCAACCGTCCTGTCGAACATTGGGATGATTTGCTTGTTTTGCTCGTCGCACAAAAACTCGATAAATACTCGCGTAAAGCTTGGGAACTCAAGCTCGGCGATACGGTGGAATATCCGCGTTATAATGAGCTCGATCAATTTCTTGAGTCTCGAATTCGCGCTCTCGAGGCGATCGTACCACTTTCTAAAGAAAAGCCATCCTCTACCTCTAAAGGAAAAATTCTTGTGTCGCATACCGCGTCCACCGTTTCGTTCGCATGTCCGTTGTGCAAGGCCAATCACTTATTATACCAATGTTCGACATTTTTAAAGCAAACACCCTCTCAACGTTTCGATTTTATTAAGCAGCGAAAACGATGTTTAAACTGTTTTAGTAGTAAGCATTCCGTCAAAGATTGTTCGAATTCGCGCGTATGCCGCCAGTGTAATAAACGTCATCACACGTTATTACATTTCGATAATTCGACTCCGCCGGTGCAAACGGAGTCACCGCCAGCAACAAGCGCAAATGTAAACGAAGTCATGTCGCATTTACTATCGAAAACCGTCGCGCCTAATTCTAATATTTTGCTTGCGACTGCCCGGGTGAGAGTCTATTCGCCTGTTGGACGTTTTATAACTGCACGCGCACTTCTGGATCAAGGTTCCGTTTCTACGTTTATTACCGAATCGCTCGCGCAACGTTTACGACTCTCTAAAATAAATCGTTCAATGTTCGTCACCGGCATCAGCGAGATGCAATCCGTTGTCCGTCACGCCGCTCATCTTACAATTACGCCGGCGAATCGCGACGAACCCGCTTATTCAACGACCGCACTCATTCTTCGATCGTTGACAAAATATGTACCGAATCGAATAAGCACGACGGGTACGTGGAACCATGTCGACGGACTCCAATTAGCGGATAGTGACCCCATGAGTACCGACCCGATTGATATAATAATCGGAGCGGATTTATACGGCATGCTCGTACTCGATGGTGTTCGACAAGGTTCCGAAACGGAGCCCACCGCGCAAAATACTACTCTCGGTTGGATTTTGTCCGGGCCAATCGCTTCGTCCCCGACCAATCTTTCGATTTCGGAGACCGCGCATCACGGAGTCGTCCTTGAAGCCTTAGATTTCGACCTTCGTCGTTTCTGGGAGACTGAAGAGGTCCCTCCGACCCAACACCATAGCCCTGACGAGCGCAAGTGTGAAGAGCACTTCCTCGCTACCCATTCCCGCACTCCTCAAGGACGCTATATTGTTAGATTACCGTTTAAAACCGGACCACCACTCTCGTTAGGAGAATCTCGCTTCATTGCCGAATCGTGCCTCTATCGCTTAGAGCAACGTTTCAAACGCAATCCATCTATCGCTTCAGAATACCACGACTTTCTCACGGAATACGAAAACCTTGGTCATATGATCAAAATTCCACCGACAGAAATTGTACAACCGGATCAAAGTTATTACATACCGCATCATGCTGTCTTACGTGACAGTAGTGCAACTACTCGACTGCGGGTTGTTTTTAATGCATCCTGCCGTACCACTAACGGAACCTCGTTAAACGATAATTTGTTTATCGGACCTAAACTTCAAAAGGATTTGGCCGCTGTCATAATGCAGTGGCGCCAATATCGTTACGTATTTACCGCCGATATCGCCAAAATGTATCGTCAAATTTTAGTTGACTTCCGCGATACTGATTACCAGCGCATTCTATGGCGCTCTTCTCCCAGCGAACCTGTTCGCGACTACCGTCTTCTTACTGTGACGTACGGCACTGCCGCCGCTCCGTATCTCGCTCTTCGAGTGCTAGACCAACTCGCTGAAGATGACGGTGCTCAATTTCCGTTGGCCGTCCCTGTTCTACGTCATCAAACATACGTTGATGATTGCGCGTTCGGAGCCGACGATCATATCCTTGCACGACAAACACGAGACCAATTAATCGCGCTTCTCGCTAAAGGAGGCTTTCGCCTACGAAAGTGGGCAAGTAATTCTCCAGATCTTTTGTCAGACCTCGATCCTGCCGATCATGGACTAGCCACTCACAAAGTCCTCCAAGACGATGAACACCTTAAAGTGTTAGGAGTTAGTTGGAATCCAAAGCTCGATGCGTTTCAACTTCGCGTATCTCTCCCGTCTTCGCCGGGAAAAACGAAAAGAGCTATTCTCTCGACAATCGCTGGGTTTTTCGATCCGATGGGATGGGCCGCTCCCGTCATCATCGGTGCAAAGATCTTTATGCAACGATTGTGGTCGATCCAATGTCAGTGGGACGACGACATTCCGGGTGAACATTTCGACCACTGGGCAACTTATCATCACCAACTACCGCATCTCGAGACGCTCAGTATTCCGCGTTGGACGACGCACGGATCTCATACTCTGCACAGCGCACTCCATGGCTTTTCCGATGCCTCAACTATGGCTTTCGCAGCCGTTGTTTACCTTTGCGTTGTTAATGTCGACGGCTCAATTAACATCTCTCTTCTCATCGCAAAATCGAAAGTGGCTCCCCTCAAGACGATAAGCGTTCCCCGATTGGAATTGTCGGCGGCGCTCCTTCTCGCTCGGTTAGTTAATTATGTGCGGTCCGCTCTTCAACTTCCGAGTATGGAATGTCACTGTTGGACCGACTCAACCATCACACTCGCTTGGCTAAGTCAATCTCCATCTCGATGGAAAACTTTCGTTGCCAATCGCGTTTCGATCATTCAGTCCTTGCTGCCTGAAGTTTCTTGGCGTCATGTTCCAACGCAGGACAATCCTGCCGATTGTGCTTCTCGCGGTCTAGCTCCCCATGCTCTCGCAAATTATAATTTATGGTGGTCAGGTCCTTCATGGCTTTGCCAATCTCCAGAATCCTGGCCGACTTGCGAGCTCTCGATACCAGCCGAGACCGCCCTTGAACAGCGTTCTCAACCACCTATTCATTCTTTACATGTAACCCCTAGTTGGGATCTCGCATCACGTTATTCTTCGTGGCCTCGATTGCTCCGAATTACCGCTTATCTTTACCGTTTTCTTTATCGACTCCGATCCTCTAAAAGCGCATCGTGTTCACAAGCGATCCTCCATCTCGAAGAGATCCAGAAAGCCAAACATTACTGGCTCCGAGTTATGCAATCCGAGATGTTTTCCGTTGAAATCTCGACTTTACAACGGCAACTTCCGTTACAAAAAACTAGTTCCTTATCCACACTCAATCCTTATTTAGACGCTGACGGACTTCTTCGCATCAGAGGACGGCTCCGTCATGCTTGCCTTTCAGAAACGACGAAGAATCCGCTCGTATTACGAGCACATCCATTGCTAGTTCTTATTATTCAGCATCATCATCTCAGAACGTTACATGCTGGTCCCCAATTAACACTCGCTTCATTACGTAACGAATTTTGGATCCTCCGATCTCGCGCTACCGTTCGTGCTGTTCTGTATCAGTGCGTACAATGCACTCGTGAGCGCGCTAAAAAACCGGTCGAACTCATGGGCGATCTACCGGAGGCGAGAGTTAACCGTGCCGCTCGCGCATTTATACATACTGGCGTTGATTACGCTGGATCAATCACTGTCCGAACCGCGCCCGGCCGAGGACACAAATCGCAAAAGGCTTACATTGCGCTGTTCATATGTTTAACGACCAAGGCTATGCATTTAGAACTTGTTTCCGATTACAGCTCGCCGACCTTTATTGCAGCGTACCAGCGATTTGTCTCCCGCCGAGGACTACCGCAGTCCATGTACTCAGACAACGGTACAACCTTTCATGGCGCTAATCGAGAATTATCCGAAGCTCACGCGAAAGCAATTCGCGATCCAAGCTTTCGTAATCGTCTCGCTGGCGATGGAACTGCGTGGCAATTCCTCCCCCCGGCCGCACCACATTTCGGCGGACTGTGGGAAGCCGGTGTCAAGAGCGTCAAATACCACATAAAGCGTTGCATCGGCCTCCATACATTAACTTTTGAAGAAATGACCACGTTTCTTTGTCGCATTGAAGCTTGCTTGAATTCTCGTCCGATCGCTCCCGTCTCCGATAATCCTGACGATTATCACGCGTTAACGCCTGGTCATTTCTTGATCGGTACCTCTCTTCTCGCTCCCGCCGAACCAAGCGTGCTTGAATTTAACGAGAATCGATTGTCGCGTTGGCAAATGATTCAACGTCTGACGGAAGAGTTTTGGCGGTCCTGGTCAAGCGATTACTTGCATTCTCTTCAACAACGCCCAAAATGGCGCGTTATCCAGCGACTTGCTAAAGTTGGCCAAATAGTCCTAGTGCGTAATCCCTTGGCTCCGCTAAGCCATTGGGATCTTGGACGAATTGTCGCCTGTCATCCAGGAGAAGATGGCCTGACGCGCGTTGTCACGGTCAAAACCTCCCGTTCTGAATATAAACGACCGATCGTGAAACTATGCTTCTTACCTGTTGCGATTAATACCGAAGAAGTAAAAGATTCCGTCATGGCGGGCGGAATCTCGTCTTAATATGCGCTAACACCCGTTCTTTGTTATTGAAATATCTACGAGATACCGATATTCTTTGTACAGCGTTTATTCCATTATGTCTTTTATTATTGTTAAACCATTTGTACTTTTTCGAATGCCTACATTCGAGGCGGGCGGTATGTTCAGGAATAAGCCTAATCCTAAAGTATAGGTCGTTTAATTCTCCGTTTATATTATCGTTCGACATCTCAGTAATTATTCGCGCCAACGCGGGACAACACGTCAAAAACACATGTGATCCACGTGTTACTCGCCTGTCCTTTCCTTCGCTCGACGCGAATCGCCTGCGCAAATCCCCAAAATTTTCGCTTTGCGCCTTGGCTACGTGTCTCGGATCATTATTGAGCGTCCAGCCACGAGACGAGATAGATCGATACACCTTTTGTTGAAATATCGTCCGCCTCGTTTCTAACACTCTTATTATAATTTGTGATTTGAATAAAAGTATATTAAAACGAATCCGCGAGTGATCATTAACGAAAACTACCGCCTTGGCGTGCGAACCTTCTATACAAGGTTTTACCAACGAGAAACAAAACAGTATTCTATAATGTCCCCACGGCAAGGTGTCGGTCGACTCAAATACGACATACCGTTTGTCGTCGTAGGGACTTAGAGCAATTTTTGTCTCGCTGATGGTATACACTTTATGCAATTTCGATCTTATGCATGACTGCTGACGCGTCATTTCAATTTCGTCATTAAGGCAACGCGTATAATCGTCGAATGTTATACTACGCGCTACAACGTTACTTTTGACACCTTTTGCTTTTTTAATGTTCTTTTTACCGTCCACCCGCGAAGCATACATTTTTGCTCTAAGCCCGACGAATTCGGTCATTATCGCGCCGTTATTCTCATCTTTCATCAGACCCGGCACCTTTTTATTCGCGAGCGGATACCGTACGCATTATTCGCGGCGTAATCGCTGGTATCGAATCGAGCGATATCGCGTTTCAAATTTTCATAGACATCTTGACATTTAATTTGATATATTAAACTGTCCGTGTCGGTGTACATTACTCTACAATTGTCACGATAGAGCGGTGACATGTATTCGTGCTGAAATTCATAAAGGCATACTTTTGATATGTCGAGTATGCACATGCCGACGTAGATTGGTTTGTAGAATTTAACTTCGAGTTTGCGTAATTCAATTGCAACTAATTTTTCCGAAAATATGCTAGTACTATGAAAATTTGGTTTCGCGATCATTGCCTCCGCACCGTACCGTCCGTCCCATTTTGTTAATAATTTTACATCCACATAATTGCGCACATTTTCCATCGTCTTGCCAAATACCGCATTATTCATCAATTTATATAAATTTTTTTCAAAATCGTTTTTTGCATGTGTTCTAAACTGCGTGTTGAGTTCAATGTATTTTTGCAGCCACGCTGACTGCGTGAATTGTAGTATGCGGTATATTTTTGTTATGCGTAGCCCGTGGCGCGTGCACTGCTGTAGATTACGATAGTGTATCACGTAGCGCTTCTTATCGCAAAGCGTTGCGAGGAGTTTATACTCCTGCTTGCCGGGCGGCTTATCGCGCGTCGGGCAAAATGGTAGGTCAATGTGCGTGTCATGAAGATGCCGCGGATACTCTAAATCTACTTCGAGAACATAGCCTATAGGCGAATCGAACGCGATAGATAAAACGTCAAAATTCGATATATCGTCGACCCACCGAAAATCGGCATATGGCAATGGTTGACACATTGCCCATCCGTACAAATTATTTACATCGAAATACATGAGGTACGATGAGGGTTTCGATGGGTCGTACGATTGCATGTACTTGTTATTAGCCTGTGCGTATCGGCCTGAACATTGACTAAGGCCGCCGCGTATACCCCGTTCGACAAACATTACCATGTCAATGTCTGTTAATAATTCAAATTTTATATTCGTATGTTTTAACATGACGTTCCATGTATATCCGGGGAGAGTATAATAATACGCGGGATCGAGTCCGTAACTTTTTATACAACTATCGCGAAAATTCTCAAATATATCGGCCAATAACAAGACATCAATTTTTAAATATAAATCGCTATATTCGTCTAGCGTTCGAAGGGAAAATCGTCTCCAGACGGTCTCGGCGTGCGCGTAATCACTCTCGGATACTGTGTCGCCGGTTAAGGAACTGTAAAATGAGTCGCGCGGCGGTAAACATGTGTCTTGTAATCTGTCCACGCAGTCTATGTATTCGTACGGAAAGACGCCCTTCCGTGTCAATAAATTGAATTTTTCACTAGTTAAATTTTGATATTCCGAATGTAAAATTTTTAGTTTTTCTTTATCCAAAAATGACGCTAATTTGTCGAGACTAGCGCTGAGAAATTTGTACGAATCGATAAACCGTAATTTGATATAATTTTTCGAATTATTATCTTGTGTCAATCTAACAGTCTTCGAGAATAATATGTATTTTTCCTTTGTTATCGGCAGTAATTCGATTTCCCCTTCGAACGCTGTGGCTATGTCCTCGATAATAAAATCTGCGTCGTAGCCGGACAGATTGTGAAAGACTATAGGGATACAAAATGATTCTTTGTAATTTAAGTTACAATTTGAATGCGCAGGACCCCTGTACCGCCCGGTGAGGTGGCAATGATCGCGGACGCGTGTATCGTCTTCGTCAAACGGTTTTTCACAAATGTGACAATGCGTCGCGGTGCGAAATTTTAACCACTCGTCAGGCGTTAAATTTACCATGGGAACATTGGTCGTTAAAATATTTTTTACGCGAATTGCTAAATTTTTAAGCTGTTCGGCGAACCATGCGACGCAATCGACACTACGGCGGGAATTGTACGCGGACAACAAACTGTCGTACGAACACTGTACATAGTACGCGATGCTGAACACTTGATGGTGTTGATAATTTTTGGCATCTTCGGTCTTTGCCAAAACACACTCGAGGTCTGCGTACACCACAAACGGAAGCCGCTCCTTCCTCGTGTAGTTGTCGAAGCTGAGCCACTTGTCATTCTCGCTCGGCAGCCGGATAGCGCAGTCGTTCAGTTTCCCGCAATCTTCCATATGCGCCTGCAATTTATCCACCGCTCCGAAATAATGTAGGCATCTGTAAAAAATAAAAAATTTAATTAGAAATATTTTAAATATAATTTAAGTTTAATAAATATATACTTACCGATCGCAGATAAATTTTTTATGAGCTTTTTTGCTCAGTTGCGAGCTCACGAGACAAGACAGATTTTTTATGCATGCGAAATGTCCAACGCTGTTTTCGTCCTCCACGTACAGCAGATTGACGTGCCTGTCCTTCTTTTTTTCCGAAAGACGCAACGGGACGATGTTCTCGTTCTCGATGATGTACACGTTTACGGAGATGTCGTTTGCAAGTTCGAATTTTTTAATTTGATTCACAGTCACTGGAAACTCAATGTTTTGGAGGTTCAGCACTGTGGTGTAATGCGGATCGGAGGATTCTCGTTCCACATGTCTTTCAGCGGGGTACAGAGCGGCCACCACCGACCATGCGAAACACGCATTGTCCGCTGATCGCACATTAACAACCGCTCTCTTTGCCATAATTTTTTGCGGTAATTTGACATGACATCCCGCGCGCATTGGATTGTACTTATTTACATTCACTGTCAAATCTATTATCCGCGACAATGCCCAGCCGCTATCGCGTTCCTGGAACTCTTCTAGCGATGCTAGCGTGGGCTCGATTACGCGGCGCTCGTACCACTCGCGTACATTGGACGTGCGAAAGAGTTCAAAGTTTCTCGTGTTGATACTTTTATTGGCGCGCTTGTCACCGGACACAAATTCACCGTTGAAAACAGTGTTCACTTTTACACTGATGTGTCTCTGCAGCACATTCTCCACGTTCTCGACTACAATGTCTGCGGCATTTTCCAAAAACTGACGCGGTTCGATGTGGTCTGCGTTAATTATCGCACCGGTCAGTATACGGCTATCGAACGCCGTATCGATTTCGCGCCAAACGAATCTTTGCGCGTTATTGCCGCCGCCACTGAATCCGCCGCCACTAGGCATGGATTCACCGACATACCGTCTCTGCAAGCGCACCTTTGCACCCTCGAGTCGCGCTATTCTTGCCACCAGAGATTGTCTATGTCCAATCGAGAGACGCGGACGCTTGGCACGGCTGCGTTCTTCCAGCTCTTCGATAAATTCTTCGCACTCTTGCAGCCATCCGAAATATTCGCCCAAGTTAGCAACTTGGCGAGGACGCTCCAACAGGTCGCGCTCAACGTTCTCCATTTTTGTAAAAAATTCACTTTTTCACACTTATTACAAAAAAAAACTTTTTGCACATTAAACTTTTTTCTCACAGCTATTTTTCCTTGAGGAAAGCGTGCGCTCGCCAGTGGTACTATGGCCCGGCAGCTGCATCGGTCCTCATTATATATCCCGATCATTCCTTTGTTCGTGGGATGATGATGCAATTGTTAATTCGCGAGAAATATTTGTGCGATATCTACCCGCTGATAATTCTTAGAAATACATAGATAAGGCCGCCCGTTACCTTTCATTTCACCCCGTCGCAAGACACGTCGCGCAAACATGTCGCAACCTGTATGGATCATGTATCAACCCGCTTGATTGTCGGCAAACCTTTTGTTCTTAATAATTCGCAGAATTATCTTATCTTATCTTGGATTTTCGGAGAAAATTTAGATATCGCTGTAATAGATATCTTATCTTGGATTTTCAGAGAAAACTTAGATATCCAATTGTCGGCGCTCGATCCAAGCTTGGATTCTGAAACGGCGGCAGCCATTCGTAGAATTTTTATCTTATCTTATCTTGTTTATGAAAACTTAGATATCGCTCAAAGACGCCGCTTATCTTATCTTGTTTATGAAAACTTAGATATCGCTCAAGCTTATCTTATCTTGTTTATGAAAACTTAGATACCGCTAAAAGACGCCGCTTATCTTATCTTATCTTGTTTATAAACATATCAGGTAACATGATCCTCTTATCTTATCTTGTTTATAAACATATCAGGTAACATGATCCCCTTATCAGGTAATATGATCCCCTTATCAGGTAATCTGATATGTTTATAAACAAAAGATAAACTTATCTACTGATAAGACCCCCTCCCCCGCGTGACGTCACCCCCCTCGCCCCCGGTTCCCCCCCGCCCCTCACACCCCCCTCATTGCCCCTGGGTTAGAACCGGCCTAGTATACCTACTGCGCTGTATAAAGGCTGCCGTAAGCGCCGAAATGAAACATCGGCTGCTCTGGCGCTGTATAAAGGCTGCCATAAGCGCCGAAATAAAACATAGGCTGCTCTGGCGCTGTATAAAGGCTGCCGTAAACGCTACATTAAAACATCAACTGTTCTAGCGCTGTATAAAAGTTGCCGTAAGCGCCAAAATAAAATATCGGCTGCTCTGGCGCTTTATAAAAGCTGCTGTAAGCGCTGCGTTAAAACGAGTGCAATAAGTTTCTAATTTGACCTAGGCTTCATGACATTTCAAAAAGTATCATCAAGAAAAAAATTATCAGACAGAAATATGTATGTCGTGTTAAAATCGGAGAGACAAAGAAAAATATATGGTTGCGTTCTCACGAAAATGGGCGATGGAGGGGCTCATTCTTTATTTTCAATATTTATACAAGAATATAAATTCATTCTGTTGCAATAGAAATAAATGTGCAATGTATCGTTAAAAGTTATTACAATTATACAAACATTTACATATAAGATTAAATAAAATATATATGTATATTATAATATAATTATATATTTTATATATGTACATATATACCATATATTTCAATTATTTTGAACTGTATTGCATAAATTGTTACTTATACAAAGTTATGTGATAAGAATCGAAAATACATATATTTGTGATACTTGAATTACTAGAAAGCTGCTCTATATATCTGTACTTTAAAAAGTAACTGATATCCTAAAAAAATCATAAAAATGAAAAGGTCAGGCCATGTTCAAAAGAAGATACTCAAAAATTTAAACCTTTCAAAATTTAAACGATCTAATAATAAATTATCACGAAAAGTAACTGATATGTTATTCAAGGTGCCAGTTCAAAGTGAACATACGTAAAGTGTATATTATCTAAATTTAGTAATAATATATTACCATAAAAAGTAACTGTGATATTTTATTCAAGGTGCAAGTTCACATTGAACATACATACATATAAGTAAAACTGATTACAATTTGATTCTAGAAAATAAGTGCGATATGTTATTCTTAGTGCACAAAATATAATAGTCGTTTATAGAGATTTGATTTGAAATTCATACTAGCCCGTACAATGAAAAATAATTGCTCGTAATTCCAGAGTACCAATTTGTTAATGACTCAAAAAAATAACATGGCGGCCTGCTCTCAAAAAACTTTCGATGGGTAGAATAAATAATTGAAATAAGAGTTGTGAAAATTGTATAAATTAAAAATCTCCAATCTTTCTTTAGTAAAATTTCCCGTTAATGACCATCATTAATCTAGGCAAGGTGGCATATGTGATTGGGATTTAACATTATCAGTAATTTATTGAATAGACAGAGAAAAGTTTTGTTGTATGCATCGGTTCAGTGTTTGAAATAACCATGTACTATCCATATACTGTAAAGCACAAATTCTTCATTTCTATCATAAATAATATCTATTTATTAAAATTTTAGCGGACGTCTTTTAAATAGAAAATAGTGTCTTGCGATCATAAAAAATAGGTTTTGAATAGCAAGATTTCATTTGACTTACAGATTTCTTCAGAAACACAGAAGAAAAAGGTATTTGTATATAGTTTTGTATATTCACTTCGTTGTGTGTAGAGTTTTTAAAAATACGTTGAATCCTTATTCTAATCTAATCTTCTTCTAATGTAATACTTTTTGTACTTCAAATGTTGTAGTAATTATTCTGTAAGAGCTTTGACATTATTTCTAAATGGACATCGAAAAACATCATAGTTTTTTGAGAGCAACTTTACTTATATGTATGTATGTTCAATGTGAACTTGCACCTTGAATAAAATATCACAGTTACTTTTCATGGTAATATATTATTACTAAATTTAGATAATATACACTTTACGTATGTTCACTTTGAACTGGCACCTTGAATAACATATCAGTTACTTTTCGTGATAATTTATTATTAGATCGTTTAAATTTTGAAAGGTTTAAATTTTTGAGTATCTTCTTTTGAACATGGCCTGACCTTTTCATTTTTATGATTTTTTTAGGATATATATATATATATATATATATATATGTATATATACATATACAGAGTGTCTCAAAAAGATCGGAACACTGAAAAATCTCAAAAAGTATACGTTTTACAGAAAGAAGTTTCAGACAAAAGTTGTAAAAAATCTATTAATTGATCTTATCAGTTTGACCTTGGATTGCGTTACCAAGGTCAGAATAAGGTCACCTTGAATTTCTTAGATAAAATCCTATTTTTTTTATTACATATTCTTGTAGCTTATCTAGAGAGCTTTCCAAAACACTAATAAAATTATTTTTTATGGAGTACTCTTTGAGTTACAAAGGCTAACAATTTTTTGACATATAATGTAAAATATCTTTGTAAAATATTCCATTTTCGGTAATCATATCTTTTTTTGCACGGAATAATGAGACCAATGAATTAGTGTAAAAAAACAGTTGCTTATAAAAAAAGTATGCTTGCTGCATATTGAATATTACATTTTTTTTTTAACAATTATCTGTTTTTGTTTATTGATCTTATTATACTATGCAAGAAAGTAGGTATGATTACTGAAAATGGAATATTTTACAAAGATATTTAACATTTTATGTCAAAAAATTGTGAGCTTCTAACCTTTATAACTCAAAGAGCACTCAATAAAAAATAATTTTATTATAGTGTTTTGGAAAGCTCTCGAGATAAGCTACAAGAATATGTAATTAAAAATATAGGATTCCATCTAAGAAATTCGAGGTGACCTTATTCTGACTTTGGTAACGCCGTCCAAGGTCAAATTGATAAGATTAGTAAAAAAATTTTTTTTCCCTACAATTTTTGTCTGAAATTTTTCTGTAAAACGTATACTTTTCGAGATTGTTCAATGTTCCAATTTTTTTGGAGCACTTTGTATATATATATATATATATATATATATAAATTCTTTCCATTGGAAATGGCATTCCATTGGAAATGAGATGCTTAATTCGGAGATTAATGCTGCTGAATATCATGTCAAGAGGATAACCGTTACTTGAGAGTATATTGACCACTAATTCAAGATTCTGGCTATAAAATTGTGGGTGTGATAGAAGCAAACACCTGTCTGTTAAATTGTATATTATTCCGACTTTTTGGCATTGAGGATGATTGGAAAAATAAGATAAAACTCTGCCTGAAAACGTTTCTTTCTGTTGCCAGTCAATATAAATTTTTTTATTCAAAGGAAGTTTTTAGACCTCTCAATTAAAATATTGAATAAAAAAATTTGGCCTGTACTGACTTATTGAATAAAAAAATTTGGCCTAAAAAAATTAGTTGGCCTGTACTGACATTTTACAATTTTATTTCAACATATAAGAGCGTTATAATTTTACTAATTTATTATTTTAATATATTATTATATTACTAAACTTATTATATAAATTATTTTAATTATACTACATATATGTATATACCATATATATATATATATATATATATATATATGTGTGTGTGTGTATAATAAAACTCCATTTTCCTTTTTAGATATGTGATTTTTGATTAAGAATCATAAATGTAAATGCACGATTTCCGGGAAGCTCACATGATGTATACATCTGGAATAATTCAAATGCTAGACAACTAGCGGAACAAATATATGTAAGATATGGGAGAAATACTTTCTGTTTGCTCGGTATGTACAATATATTTATTGCAATACTTTTTATTTTGTTCATACGTATTTTCATATGTATACTTCAAACTCTTATATAATAATTGCTTCAATTTGCAGGTGATTCAGGATACCCTTTACGACCATGGATGCTAACACCTATTGCTAACGCACAGCCGATGACCCCAGAAGCTCGATGAACGACAAATGTCGTGCCGTTCGTTGATTGAAAGGTGTAATGGCCTTTTAAAAATGAGATTTCGTTGTTGCCTAAAGCATCGAGTATTACACTATTCTTTAGTTATAGCTTTTAAAATAATCAACACCTGTGTTGTTCTCCATAATATGTGCATAGCACATAATGTACCAGATCCGTTACCGGAAGAAGGGGATGATCTATTAGATTTTGGAATGTATGTTGATGACTGCGATATTATTCCAGAAATAAGAAATGCACGTAGGGTCAATCCGGATTTAGCAGCGGGCCGATTAGTCCAAAATCAAATAATTAGAAACTATTTTACTTGAATTACACATAATATATACTCTTTGTAATTATTAGATAAATATATAAAATAAAAAACAGAAAATTTATTTCTTAACAATCGTTTATTTATTATTAATCAACTTTAATATATATATATATATATATATATTATTTAAAATTCGTCTGTATTACGTGTATGTATATGTTAAGTATAATCTAAGTAACTCTCTTTTTTACATTACAACATAAATTTTTTTCAGAAATAAATATTTTTATCGGCTCTCAATATAAATAATATAAGTATGCTGTCTTCTAAGCTGGGCAATAGAGCCAAGGAAACGAAACGAAAAATTAATTAAAACGGAACTGTATCTCAATTTGAGATCCCAAAGTTCCACATATAAATTAATTTCGAAACTTACATATGGAGAAATAAGCGAGAAAAATATAGGTCCGAAAAGTCGCTGAAGCGGGAATCGAACCCGCGTCTTTCACTTTCCGGGCGACTGCTCTTACCAACTAAGCTATTCAGACCCTTTCGATCCTATATTTTTCATTTGCCTTTTTAGTAGATGTTAGTAAATACCGCCGTGATTAGCCCAAGGCGTGAATAAACTCAGAAATAAATATTTTTATCGGCTCTCAATATAAATAATATAAGTATGCTGTCTTCTAAGCTGGGCAATAGAGCCAAGGAAACGAAACGAAAAATTAATTAAAACGGAACTGTATCTCAATTTGAGATCCCAAAGTTCCACATATAAATTAATTTCGAAACTTACATATGGAGAAATAAGCGAGAAAAATATAGGTCCGAAAAGTCGCTGAAGCGGGAATCGAACCCGCGTCTTTCACTTTCCGGGCGACTGCTCTTACCAACTAAGCTATTCAGACCCTTTCGATCCTATATTTTTCATTTGCCTTTTTAGTAGATGTTAGTAAATACCGCCGTGATTAGCCCAAGGCGTGAATAAACTCAGAAATAAATATTTTTATCGGCTCTCAATATAAATAATATAAGTATGCTGTCTTCTAAGCTGGGCAATAGAGCCAAGGAAACGAAACGATTTAATTAATTTTTCGTTTCGTTTCCTTGGCTCTATTGCCCAGCTTAGAAGACAGCATACTTATATTATTTATATTGAGAGCCGATAAAAATATTTATTTCTGAGTTTATTCACGCCTTGGGCTAATCACGGCGGTATTTACTAACATCTACTAAAAAGGCAAATGAAAAATATAGGATCGAAAGGGTCTGAATAGCTTAGTTGGTAAGAGCAGTCGCCCGGAAAGTGAAAGACGCGGGTTCGATTCCCGCTTCAGCGACTTTTCGGACCTATATTTTTCTCGCTTATTTCTCCATATGTAAGTTTCGAAATTAATTTATATGTGGAACTTTGGGATCTCAAATTGAGATACAGTTCCGTTTTAATTAATTTTTCGTTTCGTTTCCTTGGCTCTATTGCCCAGCTTAGAAGACAGCATACTTATATTATTTATATTGAGAGCCGATAAAAATATTTATTTCTGAGTTTATTCACGCCTTGGGCTAATCACGGCGGTATTTACTAACATCTACTAAAAAGGCAAATGAAAAATATAGGATCGAAAGGGTCTGAATAGCTTAGTTGGTAAGAGCAGTCGCCCGGAAAGTGAAAGACGCGGGTTCGATTCCCGCTTCAGCGACTTTTCGGACCTATATTTTTCTCGCTTATTTCTCCATATGTAAGTTTCGAAATTAATTTATATGTGGAACTTTGGGATCTCAAATTGAGATACAGTTCCGTTTTAATTAATTTTTCGTTTCGTTTCCTTGGCTCTATTGCCCAGCTTAGAAGACAGCATACTTATATTATAAATTTTTTTGTTTTGGTATTTATTTAACCTAAGTATTTCTAGTTTTTGGTGAATTTTCATAATACATTTCTAGTATGCAAATATCACAATAAGAATGTGTACTTTGACAAATAAAAATACCGACTAGTGCCATAATTGCTAGTGATATAATTTTGTAAATTAAAATTAATTACGCAAATAAAAATGAAATTAATATGTCACATACATTATATGTAAAATTACGAATTACCATCACACACATTATATATAAAATTACGAATGACCATAAAATAAAATGTAAAAAAAACATTTTTTTAGAGGTAATATAATACTCTTAAAACAAAAACCGTAGTTGAAATGTAAAACTGAAGATTATAATAACATACGAGTATGATCACATCGTGTTGCAATTATTTTTTGCATATTTCTTCGCAGTTTTTGCCATGCGCTCTTGAGCTTTGGCCGTTCTTTTCTTACATAATATGAGATCGTCGCAGAATTTCTTTTTCATAGTATATGTCTTTTCGGCAACATTGGCTAAAATACGGGTAGAATATCTTACTTCATTTACTTTTTGCCTTGAGGATCTCCGTTTCGACTTTGTCAACGTAGATGGATTGTAATTTTCAGTATTTTTGTTGTTGTTATTAATATTTGATGTTTCAATAGTTGCCTCACTTGCCTCAGTTGCAAGTATAGCAGAAGTAGCTATTGAAGCTTGAATGATATTATAGACATCATCAAAAAATTCTATATTTTCTGCTTCTACTGCCAAGTCATCCTACAGATATAAGTAGCAATTAATAATTCTAATTATTTATTAAACTAAGCAAATAGCATAGTAAAGGAATTTTAATTACAAATCTCTTCGCCCAAAGTCATGTCCATACATGATTCCGAAATATCTGCATGACCCTTAGTTAATAATGCTGGAATTAAATCCAATACTTCTCGTTCATCTGGTGTAAGAACTGCACTGCACTGTGCCCCACCTCCCGTTTTACGTTGTTCCATGTTTATCCCTGCTTGCTTCGTTTTACTACGAGAACGATAATCTTGCCAACACTAGAAATAAATTGTTTTGTTATTAATTTTTGAAGATCGATCATGTATCTTTTATCATAGGGCGGATACGTGAAAAGTGAAGTTATCTTTTTCTATTTAACACCATAAGAAGAAGATAACCACGTGAAACTTTTCACTTTTCATTTTTCCGCCCTACGGGAAAAGTAACATGATCGCTGCTTTGGAATTAAATATTTGATAAATTAGTAGATTAGTAAATATCCCATGTAAATATAATTATGAAAAAAATATAATTATAAAAATTAATACATAATTATTGTAATTACCTTACGCCATGATTTCCAATATTTCTCGGCACCGTTGCAAGCATTCAAAGTGTCGATCACTTCTTGCCATAACTTTACTGCATGATCGTACGTAAAAGTTTTAGAAAACTTTCCCGATACTAATTCTGGATGAACTTTCATAAATTCGTTAAGCAAACATCTTTGTTCTTCTGTTATATTATCAGTTCTTTTCTTTTTATCTATGATGCTGTAAAAAATAAAAAAATGGTGCTGTTAAAAAATGGTTAAAAAAATAAAAATTTGCATACTGAATATGTACCTCATTATTTACAACCTCTGTATTCAATAACATATTCCCTAAACCATGTATGTACATTAATATAGCTTAAATAAAAAATATGAATTACCTTGATTTGAAAACGCGAGATATGTCCAGATTTAATAAAGATTATTCTCGATGCTTGATCCATACACTGAATCGGAATTTGCCGACTTCTTTATCAATTCGCCAGTCTGCAAAAAGGCCACTTTTTGTATTAGTTTTCCAATAAAATTGCACGTCTAAATCACCAAGTCTTAATATAAGTTATATTTAGCTTGTTTATAGAATATAATTGCCTATCAAATTACTACCTTGATGTCTAAAATACGTCTTTTGTATCGACATGTGTAGAGTAGTGGGCAGAGCAGAGGTTATATTTACAAATACCAATGTCAGTTAGGTTAATATTTGCACTGTTGCCAGATGTAATTTGTGTTCGTATGCGCACGATTCTCACTTAGTTTCGAGCAGTCAAATTTTTCATTCGAGAATAGCAGTTGTCAAACGTATTCGCATCTTCGACCGCTCGAATCGTGCGTATGCGCAAGTTTACGAGTGATTCGAGAATAGGGCCCCTGATCGCGTACATGTGCTGCGCAGAGCGGTTCAAACAATCGCGTGTCGCGATATGCAAGGAGGATTCTCTGTTTGCTGAAACGCGCACACGTGACTAAAACATGTTGAACACGTGATCGACAGACACGTATCAATTCGTATATATCTCTGGTACTAATAGGGCCCAACGCAACAGAAAAATTATTAGAAATAGAAATAATTATTAAACAAGAAAGAAAGTAAAAAATTTTTTCTTTCCTTTCTTACTAATTTATAATATGTATTTTTACTCTTTATATTTTTCTATTTTGTGCGTAAGGCCTAACACAATACAAATTTTGGATTTTGGAAAAAGCCGACAAAATGGCGAGTCGTGGTATACCAAGGCCACGTGGAGGGCGACTATGCACCTCGCTCTTCAAACTCTTTTACGCGATAGAGAGGAAGGGCCGCCGGAGTAATAGCGATGAAAAAGATTAGCAAAAAATACAGACTCGCACTGATTTCGGGCTGATAGCTTACTAGGCGTTGCACTATCGGCTAATGTTGGTATCATTATCGGTAACAAAGGAAACAAAGAAAACAAGATATACAAAAATTACAAATGCCTCTAACGTCTGACCACGATTTCGCTTGCTGTATACGCGATATCAAGTATTATCGACACCTCGGTAACAAATAAGACCTAACAATAAAAAACAAAAAGAAGCACGTATACAATTTCGGCTGAACGTCACCTCGACACCAAGGGTAATAAAAATAACTCTAATAAAAAACACGCTTGCTCGGGTTCGCATTCAAAGTTTTTTATTGCTGGAAAAAATAAAATAAAATTATTTCTTGATACACGGAGAAAGAATAGAAAAAAGAACATGTTAAATCAATTTGAGATACAAAATTTTATTCTATGCTAATTTTAAATTATTTAAAATTGGTAACGTTATTATAAAAATAAGAAATATATGTCGGCTTTCAATATTATTAATAATAATAATACATGAATTTTAAATCGGCC